ATTAGAAGTTAATAAACACACTTTAAAAATTATTGAAGAATTCTTTATAGACAATATTTTTTCGCAGTTTTTTCTTATTTCTCTCATCACCATACCTCACGAAATTCAAGTCAAACGAATTTATCAATTATGAATCTGCAACATACAATTACCGTGTAGAAACGTGACATCGGAAGAAAAGACCTACAGTTCATAACGATTGCTCTTGACTCTTGTTCTTGATATACAAATAGCATGTTTGTTGGTTTTTGTTTGTCGATTTTGGTTCGATCGATTTTTCAACTCAAAAGGTGAAACCATAAACCAATCCGCCAATGGTTAATTGGTTTTAGTCGATTTTGGTTTGAGTCTATCTCAGTTTTGATCGGTTCAATTTCGGTCGATTTGTAGATCGGTTTCGGTTTCTTGGTTTTTTTGTCACCACTATATTTCTATCACACGATTGAAAGATATTATAAATAAGTAACATCAAATATTAGATGTTTAATAATCACATACACTACAAATTAATACATTATTTTCAAGTCTTATCGTTTCTTAAGGTAATGAGGTAATTTTTAGTAGTCTTATAAATAAGCTTTGACATATTACATTTAATACCTTTTGAAGTATATTAAAATGCACAAAAAAATTTATTAGAAGTAACTATTTAAGGTCAAGTAGGATCACAAGTATATCTTAAAAAAACAAAATTTGGGCAATTGACATGCATGAGATAATAGTAAATAATCACAATGAGGATAACAAGAATCTATAACTCCTTGTAGTTATGCCCAGTTTGGGGGCAAGATTTTTTGTTACACATAAACTAACTTGGGGCAAGATTTTTTGTTACACAAACTCAGACAAACATTCATTCACTTCGACCCAACTGCAACCTGATTGTTTTCTCAATCCACATTCCTCCTCTTGCAATACTGTGTTTGATAAGAGAAGAAACAAAGAAGTGGAAATTTATCCAACATTTACTATGATAAGAATATAAGCTCAGGTCATACTTACGATTTATATAGATCTGGAATCTCTTGGACACTATCTTAAATAGGAGGATGGCTTTTCAGTTAGCGTGCCACTTGATGCATTTGTTTCTTATAAGTCATATATTGTAAATAATCACAATTAGGATGACAAAAGGTGTACATTTCACATTCCCGGAACACAACCTTGCTAAGACATCCACTTTGTTAAATCCTTCAAGTGTTTCTACCTGTTGCTTATAATACTCTACCACATTATCAAGAAATTGCAGGTGAAGGAATGAATAATAATATTGATCACGATTAGTAAAAAAGAATTAGGAATCATGATATTACCTTTGAACTTATGATAAATAGCAAAACAAAGTTTAAAAGTTACTACACATGGTGTATACATAAAACCCAACGAAGGAGTAGCACCCAAGTATAAACCAAAGCATCAAATATACCTAAATTTGATTTAGGATGTTATTCCAGAGGACTTCTTGATTAATAGAATGGTAGTAAAGTTTGTAAGAGAAATTGGATCAAGTTGTATTATGTTCCTGTTGTACCAATCAGTAGGCTTTGATGGAAGAGAGAGCTAGAATATCGAGGATGTTTTCTTTTTGTGTTGTACCGCAGCTACTGCTCATCTTGTTTATGGGTTTTCTTCTCGTGAAATAGAAGCAACTTTAGGTTAAAGCAGGGCCAGACTTTTGAAAAATGCTAAAGAGTGAAGTAGTGTGCTTTGTTTAAGAGAATTTAGAAGTTCACACGTACTTTAAAAATGAATTTTTAAAGTCTTCTTTCTGAATTATTGACTAAGATTTGCTTGAATCCATAGAAGAGAAATACAATTGGCCAACTGAGTAAGAAACGGAAGACCTACTGATGGAAATAAACATTATATTCACTTTTAAATTGTACACCAATGTTTAAAAAATTGATCAAAATTTTTGACCAACTGGTTAATTAAAGGGTGCTTGAAAACATATGTGGAAATCCTTGGCTATCCTTGGCTAGCTTAGAATACACAACTTTCAGAAAATCAGTTTATCAAATAAGGACTATAATGAACCGATCCTTGTATCGTAAAGAATATGTAATAATTCTAGCCTACCTTGCGAAGAGGTCTATAAACACAATCATAGTTGTTGGCTTAGAATACATAGCTCTCATATATCCTTCTATCAAATCAGGACTATAATGAATTGATCCTTGTATTCTAAAAATATGTAATAATCGTAATGAAATGCTCTCATATATGTAATAAACTTCATACATAAGTTTGTTTTCTTCTTTAAATATTTTCCAAGCCCAGGTCATATTATTGTGCAAAAGAAATACTTTTAAAAAAGAAAGACAACTCACACTTTGAAATTAATAAATTTCAAAAAAGACATACAATCCGGGAAGTTCTTTGTGGAGTTCTACACTTAACACTGCTTAGTTTAGTAACAACTAAGTTCATTTTAGAAATAACTGAGTTCATTTTAGCAACAATTGCAACAGCTTTTACTTCATTGCATTGATTTATGAGCTTGGTTAGTTCCTGAAATTTCATTAAAAGGCATGTACCCCCAATTGAAACAACTAAAAAATAGAGGAAGAAAGTCCAAGAGAATCACGATTTCATTTATATCTAATCAGTAAGATAGTAAAATCTATATATCCACACACACATAGTTCCAGCTTAGGAAGAAAGTCCAAGAGGAAACATGCTTTCATTGTTATGTCTTTTTTCATGTACTTGAGGTAAGGCATCATGTCCACCTCTTTGTAATCTTTCCACTTTTTAATAATAGTTGGTAAGAGATGGCTAATTCTTAACCGTCAACACCGGGATAGAAGCAACAAACTAAAAGTTAGAAATCAAGTATATTGATTGTACCTCAAAGGGATCTCTTCGTACTTACCTATGCAAGCATAAAATCAATTCCACTATTTGAGTTTATCATAAGCACTTGAACAACCTTATCAAAGATTTAATGAACATTTTTCTGCTTTTCTGAACTATTAAGTTAACAGTAAAATAGTAAAAAGGAAAGCGAGAAAACATTAGAAGGAAAGATGGTTAATTAGACGGTGATACTTAATTAGAAGGAAATATAAATTAACAACAAAGAAGGTGATAGTTAATTAGACGGAAAGATAAGTTTATCATGAGCTTATAGTTGTGTTCTGTGTACGTGTATATCATGGAATGAAAGTTTGAAGACTGATGAAGCTTTTCACCATGGCAGCTACTTTACACTGAATGACCAACTAACTAGAGTAGTTCAACACCTACCGACAATCCCATTCCAACTAACTAAAGAATGACCAAGTTTCCCTTTCCAAAACTACTCAAAATTATTTCAAGATTATGAGCGCGAGAAGTCTTACCGATATAATAGCCTTAAATTATTCTCTCAAATATACCCTAATGAAGTTGAGCAACTGGGAGAAAGGTGGACTATCTTTTAATACATGAGAAGCAAGGCTTTGAGAAATGAAAGCCTGTACTTCCAAAGATAATTCTTCTCAACCTGTAATCGCAGTCACTTTAAATGAAATGAAAGCGAATAAAGGTCTCAGCTTTGAGAAAGTTCTAACAAAAGGTAATATTATGATGACCTAACATCTGAGATCAGAAATGACTCAGAAGTAGTGTAAAGAATCTAAAGTCAAATGAATAAAGTCACAAAGAAGAAGAAAAGAAAAACATTGATCGAATAGCAAAGAATCGGTAAAAAGGGTCATAGAAATTCTCATAAAAAATATGAATACTGAATACTGATTTGAAGTGTTTGTTTCTTACATTTTTCACACACTACGTTGACATGGTATAGTAAAAAGCTACTACTATTTTTAAAGAACCCATCGTGCTTGCATTTAAAACATTTAACGAAATGAATAAAACCCAGCAATGAAATTGTGAAAATATAAATGTAAGGTAGCTCACAGTCATGGAGCAGATGAGGTATTTGTTCCATTACAATGCTCACCTAATGAAAAAGTATTCGAAATTTAAGAATTTGATAAATCAGTAAACAGAATCAACGAAGATTGCATAAGCATTTTATCGCATATACCGCAGTATTATTGTGGTTTGCATAAAGTCTTCTGTTCTAACTTTAGTATGATCACATGAATTTTACTTTTGTTAGAAATTAGACTTCTGTTAGGGCGAATTGAGTTCACTTCAGAGTATACTACATGCGCGATTAAAATTCTGTTTTTTAGATCATATAAGCATTTCATTGAACAATATATGTGCAAAATACATAATATTATCAAAAAGAATCTGAAATTCCTCAATTAAAAAAGGACTGTCTTCAACCATCCAATTGAAGACCGAACGAAATCAAAAACATATTATATATGAAAAGATGAAATACCTTACCTTAAGATTTATATGGATGAAGCTTTTATGCGAATTTGGAAATTGATGAAGCATGATACGAAGCCTGGAGAAATTGCAAAGGGGAGCTATGAACGATCAGCCCAAATAAAGCGGGCTAGCAACCTCTGGAATTAGATGAAGACACCATTTGTATTATCAATGCTTTCCGTTGTTGGAAGGAGGCGCTGTAGATCGAGTTGGTGAGACGGGCCGGATGGAGAAGAGAGAACATGGAAGGGGGTGAAGGTGAGTGGAAGAAGCGGATGAAGATGGGAAATGCGGTGAAGGGGGAGAAATGGTCCGAGATGAATGTAGATGAAGAAGATCGAAAAGGAGAAGGGGTGGAGATGGAGGCAGATGAAAATGGAAAGAGAAGGAATAGGCAGTGATTGATCTTTAGAAACCAGGAGAGGATGGACTGAAAGATTTGTATAATGGACGGTGCAGATGCGTAAAACATTGGGCGGGATTACTGTTCAATGAACAGTAAAAATCACTATTCAATGAACAGTATTTTTATTGTGCTTTTATGTATATATATGTGTGTGTGTGTGTGTGTGTATATATATATATATATATATATATATATATATATATATATATATATATATATATATATATATATATATATATATATATAGATATAGATATAGATTGTGGAGTTTTCTAGAAGTGTGGAATTCTCTAGAATGATGTGAAGTATGTGGAAACCTCTAGAACATTTCGAAGCAGTGTGGAGTTCTCTAAATCCTTCTAGAATAGTAAAAAAGCTTGTGAACAGATTTTGAAAGAATCTAGAAGATTAATAGTGATGTATACAAAGTACTAGAGAAGTTTTGGAGAGAGCACTATAAATAGGAATGAAATTCCTCATTATTGTGGGAGAGATTTGTGAGTGAGCGTCTTGTGAGAGCCTCCTCAAATGATGAGAAAGAGCTTTGAGGAGAGCTTTTGAGTGAATGAGTTTCTTTTGGACTGTTTTCAGACACAGATAAAATCAGATCAGCAAATTTCAATCCAAAAGAAAACATTCTAAATAAATGTAAGATTTGAACCCGTGATCCTGGAAGCATAGAGGATCATGTTTTTCCCCAACATCATGAAAGTAAGAGCATTTTGAATAGGTATGAAAGTAAGAATTGCATCTCCACATTAATTTTCGTTTTCATGCGAGTCTCATGTTGCTTCAAGAAGCGAGTATCATCTTTTTCATTTTTTTCTCCAAATTACTCTCTACATTATTTTCATCATTTGCAATGTTGTCCAAAAATTGATTACTTTATAACTTAACAATTAATTAGCCAAATTTGACTTTTCAAATACATGACATCTAACTTTTAACAATTATATGTTTATATAAAACAAATATTAATAATTTGAAAATGATATGAAAATGTTCTTTATTAAAATTACTATTATAAAAGTATTAAATTATTAAATTTGCATAAATATACTTCCTCCAGTTCTTATTTAAGTTCTCAGTTTGACTTCACACATATTAAAAAAATGGATTTGATTTTACTGTAGAGTGCACTGTTTGGCACTGTTTGACAGTGTATTGTTTCCTAAAATGGAAGCGTGCACTTAAATAAGAGACACCCAAAAAAGGAAAGTGAGAACTTTAATAAGAACCAGATGGAGTATTAATTTAAATAGATGGTCAAAGTTTACCATCTTTGACTAGAAAAATAAAAAATGACCAAGTAAATTGGAAATATGAAACAACATTCATGAATTTCACCATTAGTGATTCCAAAACAGCATTTCTATGCTTTAATAGAAGGACAAGGTTGGCATACATCGACCCTCTTATCCTGCTGTAGATAAGAATCTTAACACCACTACGTAAAGGTGATCACTTTCTACGTACTCTGTAGAAGATTAAAATAATCATCCATCTCTATTTTATATCCTATTTCATTCGAGATAGTCCAATCTTACAAAATTGCTTCTATTTCTAATATTACGAGTAGTCTTCTTCCAAGTGCCAACCATGGGCGCTTGCAACTGTGTGTTCTCCACTTCTGCTTCTCCTTTTTATGGGTTAACCATGGTCCACGGGCGCATTTCAATATCTATTTTAGCTATGGATTAAAATGGGAAATCATAAAATTTAAGCGTACAATATTAATAACATATTAAGCGTGTTCTTTAAACAGAGTGTCTTTTTAACAGGAAAATATTGAATTTGTACTTCCTTCGTTCCCTTTAAAGTGAAACAGTCAACATTTCACGTTTGACAACGTACAAATTTAACCATTAATATCTTTCATTCCTAATTAGTCAAAAAATCATATTTTGAAAATTTAAAATCAATAGTTTAACAATATTTTTTAAAAAATTAATTTATAATACATTAAGTAATAAAATATAATCAAAATAAAATAGGTGAATAATGCAAAAAGTACAATGTTACAATTAAAAGAGAACAAAAGTATCATATTCCACTTTTAGGATTTTATAGTTCACCAACAATCTGTTGATTTTCATTACAAATTCCAAACCAGTAATTCGCACAACGTTAATTCCAAGTTAGAAACTAACAAAATGGATTTAAATATTGGCAAAATCATTTGAGATAAGCTAAATCCGACCAAACACGAACCACACATTAACTTAATTTGAACGATTCCTAAACAGAGATGTAAGATGGTTTTAGTAGACAAGTTTTATGGTGTTCAAACTCATCTGTGGATCTCATCTCAGCGGTTGTCTGGCCGCCGCTGATTCTTGCTCAGCTTTCTCTCTATGCACTATGGATCCTGCGTCAGAAAATTAAGCTTAACGACGCTGTCACCTGTGCACATTATTTAATTCTAATTCCCTATATTAAAAACATAACAACTAGATTCAAACCATTTTGAGATCTGAGTACTAGTAATGGATCTTTATAACGAAATGTGGCGATTTGTTCGAGGCCGTAATCAACACAAAAGTTTGAAAGGCACGGAGAATCGCATTATGATCTTGCCAACCTTCAATGCAAGAAATCCGCCATTGAAGAGACGCCCTTGCTCTGCAAATTGGCTTTTTAAAAAACAATAAACTAATATCATAGCAAACGTTTTCACTGATTAAATTCCTGTAAAAACAAATTAGAATACGTATCTTAGTAATAATAATCAAATAAATAAATAACTGAAGTATGTGTGCAGCTCAGGATGCACTCCCCATAATTTCTTCACTGACAATCAAAGTGCAAGGATAACGTTTTAGTATTCCTCATCGATGCTTCCCTTTCAGATACATAACAGAAAGTCGAAAGAATTCAAGTATAAGGTCGATCTCAGGTATGAATGATCTTCCGCATCAATTCCGAAACCGGACTTTCAGATAGATAACGCAGTTTCATTATAGCATCACAGATCCATGAAAACTGTTTTCTGCATATTCTAAACCCAAAATGAATAATAAATCCATAAATAAAAAACGCGAATATCCTTCGAAATCGTAGGTTAATACTACTCAGCTAATGATTTCAAAGCATAATGAATGTATGGATCTCAGAAAAGTGAAATACATTATTGTAATTGATTGATCTTCATGTTTTGAAGATTCAGATTGGGAAAAATCCTCAGTGATCCATCCATGGCTAAATAATATGAAAAGAGACACAGAAAATAAACGCTACATTATGATTGTTCGGAATCTACGAACATTTAATTTCATCAACGGCATAGATAATGAAAAGTAGGAACTGAAGAATATAGAACTATATCAAGGTGGAAATGGAGATGGCGCTCGGTAGGTCTTATAGGACAAAATAGGAGTGAACGTGTAATGGGCTATCGGTAGGTATCCCTCACGGGAATTCGGGCCCCCCAGATATTAGGCCTGGAGAGTTCTTTAAATCCGGTTGGCCCGGCCCATTATTATGAAACACCCGAAGCTCAAATGAGTTTGACAGAGTACAACATAATAGGAAAACTGTCAAATAAATCATCATATTAAGTTTGGGCGATAATGTTAATTAAAATCTCATACTCTACCATCATTCAATTCTCAAACTCTTAAAAACCGTTCAATTTGAGTTGTTTAGTCTGTTTTATCGATTATCCAGTTACTTCATAGTTCATGCCCATGTAGTCCAAGTGTTCTTTTTTAATGTTTTCAGACTTTTTCTTCATCCACCTTGCCCCCCATTCATACCTTCCGCTTTCTTCTTCTTTCTCCCACCATTTTTTCCTTTGTGCTCCTCAGGCCTCAGCACTTTCTGAGTTTCTTTTCTTTCTCCTGATTCATACCGCTATACGTTGCCGCTACTGCTATTTTCATCGACACATAACTAAAGTTTTATTAATCTAAAACTAAAATTTGTCTTTGATTCAACAAATCCGCAATTCTTTTTGAAATTCTACCTTAAATTTTCGAGTTTGTGTCATTTTTCATATTCTTTTGTTAGTTATAATTTTTTTAGGATATATCATTATTATTTTTTACATTCTATTCTTTTAGTAAGATCTAAAAAAATCAATTGCTCTTACTTTTTCTACTTCATGTATTCATTCATAACTTTCAATCTTTTCTCCCACTTGTTTATATAAATTACTCATTTTTTATTATTCTTACCTTCAATATTGTATCAAACCATATTCTAGCAATCAGTAGAATACAGAGGAAGTAAGTTAAATCTTAATATATTCACCGTATTCCATAATTTACATAAGAATACACTCTATGCACATATATTTCTCACCATGTTATAATTTTTATAGTCATTTGCCCAACACAATAGTTTTGTATGAATGAATAATAGGGCTAATGGAAACTAAAAGTTGCATCTTTTATGAGTTTTCTTAGAAAGTCCTACCTAAAAGAAAAGTCTTGAACAAAAACTATGACTCTTTTTAAAATATACCAAAAACGTGATTTCCAAGATTTTTACACTCATACCAGCAACTGTGACAATCAAGGCAGTGACCACCACCGGACCCAATTACTGCTCGTCGTCGCTAGTGATTACTTATTTTGACCACAACCACCACACTGACCAGCACCTTGTCCCTAGTTGTCGCCCGATCGGCCGTCGTCGCCCTGTTCAGTGACGTCAAGCCCGCCCATCTAGTTGCTGACACCTCGCCTCACCCCACATTGCTCTCTAGCTGCCACAGACCCCTGTCCAGCACCCCTCCACAATGGTCATCCGTTCTCTCTAGCCCCACCCCAATAATTGTGTACCTAGTTTGGGATGTTTCGTTGACCTCATTGGTACCAATTTAGTTTAGACCAAATCAGAACTAAACAAATCAAACTAGATCAGAAAATTACAATCTAATTTAAAACATCATAAAATGGAAGAATATGATGGATTGTGAAAATAGTGTATTTAAAATTTACTGCGTATTTGACTAATAAAGTAAAGAAAATATATACATAGTATTTAAAATACTCCCTCCGGTCCTAAATAATTTTCATAGTTTGACTTAGGGATGAACTAAACCGGCCCGGCCCGCTACTGTGCGGGTCCGGACCGGACCGGTTGGCCGGTTCCGGGCTTTTAGCACGTTTGGGTGGGTCGGGCAGGCCAGGCTCGGGCCCAGTTTTAGGCGAACCGGCCCGGGCGGTTCGGGCCGGGGCCGGGTCAATTTTTTTTTCAATTTTTTTTCTTTTCCTAGGGTAGGGCTGGGTGTTTTGGGGAGGTTTTGGGGGTGGGGGTGAGGGGGGGTCGGGGGATAACAAGAAAGCAAAAAAAAAAATAGACATTGAACCGGGCCCGGCCCGGCCCGGTTAGGCCCGGACCCGATATCAACCCGGGCCAGTTCCGGGCCCAAGGATTTGCAAAAAAAGCCCGCCCGGGCTCGGCCCGAAACCGGAACCGGACCGGCCCGGATCCATCCCTAGTTTGACTTTACGATTTCTAAGAAAGTGGAACTTTTTGTTTTGACTTCCTCACCATACCCCTATAAAAAGTAAATAAAATGTAGTGAGAGAAAGAAAATAAGTGTAAAGTAATTAATAAAGTAAGGGTAACTCTATATTAAAAACTTTTCAAAAATAGAAGTGTGAAATTTATTTTGGACCTACCCAAAAAGGAAAGTGTGAAGTTTATTTAGAACCGGAGGGAGTATGTTTTATTGTTAAAATAAAGGGAAATAGCTAAAATTAAAATGATCTTGTATAAGAACTTCAACCAATTCGGTATGAAAGATAACTTCAACCTTACTTGGTTGATTTATTACACAATTTCATCATGGGACATCAAACATTTTGTGTTTGGTAAAAATAAAGATTAATAAGATGAAACTATGGTTACCACTTACCAAATAGCCGAAATAGGCTAAACCGCTAAACTGTGGCACTGTGCTGGAGTAGGACTTGTTCATTTAGCAAGTCAACGAGAGATATGAACGAACGTCTATAAATATTCAACAAACAATCAAAAACAGATCTGAAACTTACAACCAGTTAGTACTTATTCAACTACACCCCAAATTCTAGTGATTATAATACATTCAACGAAAATGGTATGAGGAATGCTTGTAAGCTGTTGCTAAAGATAATGAAACCAGCCCCAAGCTATTGTTCACATAAGCTGACTGGTCGTCAAGTCAAGATCGACCAGCCCCCGGAAACTCCCACCATCCCTCTTCACATAAACTGACACTCATACACCTACATATCGCTGTAATTGTTAAAATACTCCATTTGTATCGCCGGAAAATACTAGACAAGTAAAATAAAACACACTCAAGCTGAGTAAATTTATTTCAGCTAAACGAAAACAAGAAGTTATTGATCAGGTGTAACATTTCATATTTTTCACTGACCTTGGCAAGTGAACGCAGGAAGTTCTTCATCACAACACAGGCAAATGCGGGACATTGACAATGAGTCATTGAGGGAATAACTGGCATTGTGGAGTAGCTGACAGAACTATAGTGATTGGGTATGGATCCCACAAACAAGTAAGCATCTGTCGATTCAACAGTCGGTACAGAAGGCGGTGCTCACTGTCCCCGATAGGTTCCAATGAAATGGAGATGTAGTTCAGGAGCTAGCCCGTTAGCAGAGCTGCATAGCGCATACATGCCATTGGTAACCACAAGAATCAGCCAACTCAACTAAGGCATTACATGCTCTGACTACACACACTTTTTTGGCCTCCAACCAGCACCGGCTTTACTGCTTTGTTCAAGAACCCTACTGCAGCCTCTACTGCTGCCTCCAATGGCCAACCCATTAAGAAAAGTAAGGATAACACTAACCATCGACCATATGAATTTACCCTTGTATGAATTCCAATCAAATAAAAAATGGTCCAGGCTTAAATTGCTTGTCTAATACGGAGTAAATTCATATGGAGTAAAGGCTTAAATAAAAAATGAAAAGATAAACAGAAATATAACATCCATCTATAAATATTAAATTGCTTGTCTAATACGAAGTATACAAGCTTCAACTTGTCAAAGAGCAAACAATCAAATTTTGAGCAGGTCAACATGGATCACTATATCTGACATCCACCCCATCTAAACTGCCCCGTTCCAATAGAATGAAAGCGCTATGACAAGCAGCTGGTCAAGGCTTGCATTGTATACCATTGAAAGGTTGAGCATATGTGAAAGAGGTGCTCCGAGCAATACTTGTTACGAAGTCTCAGTGTTGCTGCCTAGTCAAAGACTTTTTGCAGGAGACCAAATTACCATGTCATGTAATATAAGTATGACCGAAATGAAATCAAATAGCTTGAAACAGCTTGCAAGCTTCGCCAAAGAATAAACTAAAAGACCGCAAGAAGAAAAACAATGGCAATGGCAAGATAGCTATAGAGCTATATTATGTCTTCTTTCGTACAAACCAATTACTTGGTCAGCAACAGCCCACATGATGGCCTGCCCAGGGGGGATCCTCATAAGCCTGGGAAGTAAACCTTTCCATAGAGCACGCAGACCTTCTTCAGTATATATAGTAGAGATAGCATGGAACATTCCTCTGTACTTCACATCACCCGCTGACCGGCTTTGAGCCATCAGCCTTGTTTTCACAACGTCAAAAGGTCCAGTACATATAGGACCAGCTGTTCCTGCAAGAAACCCTGATATCATAGACTGCCATGGCTGAAGAACTTGGCCATCACCTTCAAGTTTCTTCCAAAGTAACGTGTCAAATGTGTTCTTGGCTGTAAACATGGCAGCCTGATTCGTCCCGTTTCGCATCACAGTTGGGGAAGCTCCAGCCCATAGGCCACGAATCCCTTCTTCATGGATAATTGACCGTGCACAATGTATGGGCCCCTTGTATCTTAGAAGCTCCGGGCTTAAACCTCTTTGCTGTTGTAGCTGAATTTTCACCACCTACATCAACTGAACTAGATGAGCTATTGACCTTTCGACACCACATAGCTGTGTGACTTGTTTGGCTGCATCGGTTAGGGAGCTATAGTCTAGAGCATCAAATAAGAAAATATCAGAAATAAAATACCAAGACCCCATTTATTAAGACTAAACTGGGTTAAATCTATTGGAATTAGTGAAGTTATGGCTGCAATTGCTTAATCTGCTGGGTATATTTTAAACAATTTATTTAAAATATATTTTACTAATAAAATAAAGAAAACACAAAAGTTGTCCCTTTAACAAATTAAGCCAATTCAGCAAAACAAAACCTCCAATCATATTTTTTCATTATTAATCAATTTAGATCCTTTTGGGACCAAGTTTGCTGGCTGATATGATAAGCCTGATGAGCGAAAAACTAAGTTTGCCCGATGGGCACTAAGGATCTATTGGGGTAAAGTTTACTAGGATGAATAGGCTGATTTTTCTGAAAGAAAAAGCGTTTGGTAACAACCCTTTAAGCAAAATAAGTAACTCAAAAGCTCCTCTTTTTATTATAACCAAAATAAACACATCACAGCTACCAAAAGGAGCACAAATCTGCATGTTTACGATCAACACGAAAGAGTTGATATGAACAGAAAGAGAGATCCAAATTAAAACTTAATTGCAGCTACGGTGGTAACAGGAAGGGTATTTAACATTTACTAATGTTTCAGCATATGATACACATTTAAATGAAAGCCATTGTATTACATTGGCAAACAATTTGGCCTGTTTCAAACTAATGATATCAACTTAATTTACATTTTTCAATTAAATGATTCTCTGATGCCCATTCATTTGGATCCAGCACCTCTACCCTTGCGCAAAAGCAAACGCATCCCGCCTTTTTTCTTCCCACACTGCCTAATTTCAGATTGGACAGTCATGATTTACTTATTGTCTCCAAACTTTTTTCCAGCCCCGCCATCAATCTTAATACATTCATTTAAGAGAATTCCCTAAATAAGACTAAAATAAAGATTAAGCTCATAAATAAGACTACCCTTGTTTTATCCCCAAAATAAGACTCGTTAACTCTTATTTTGGGATGTTTTAATCAACTTATTTTTTTTAATCGGACTAAGTAAGTCCTATTTGAGGAATAAAACATACTTAATCCTATTTTTGAACTTTATGTATGTTTTAGTCCTATGATGAGCAATTTCTATTCATTTGATCTAAACCTTTATGTTTCTAGCTCTCCTCATCTCAGCTTTCAGAAAATCAAGAGCACAAGTAAAATCAAGCTCAAGCAATTTTTTATTAAATGTTTGTAATTTATACAAAAGGATTGTGTGTGAACTAAAAGAGAAAAACAAAACACTTCCCTAAAGCCCACTTCACATGGATTATGGTAAGTGAATACTCATTGAACTATTAACTTTGATTTCAATATCATGCTAATACAAGAAAAACCAACGAGATTCACAAGATAAAATTATAAAACTAAAACAGAACAAATAATGACAGTCCTTGAAACATAGGCAATTTGCAGGTCACAAATAATTATTGTAGAATTGCAAACATCAAGCAAGCAACTGAAAGTAAAAAAGAATTCACACAAATTATGGACATTGAAAAGACAAAACTCGAAAGGGGTGACAATAATAAGAGCTTCAAGAACTACAAAAGGATTGTCGTGAACTACAAGAGAAAAACAAAACACTTCCCTGAAGCCCACTTCACATGGATTATGGTAAGTGATATACTCACTGAATTATTAACTTAGACTTTAATCTAATGGTTTTGCAGGAAAAAAACAACCAGATTCACAGGATATAAATTAAAATATTAAATTAAATTAAATAACTAAATCCCAACAAATAATCACAGATTAGCAGTCCTTGAGGCATAGTCAATTTTTCCAGGTCACAAAAAATCATTGTAGAATTGCAAACATCAAGCAAGCAACAGAAAGTAAACAGAAATTATACAAATTATGGACATTGGAAAAACAAACCTCGAAAGGGGTGACAATGACGAGAGCTTCAAGAACGCCAGCTCCGAAACCAGATAGAACCCTTCCGTATGGACTGAGATTCCCCGTCTTGGAGTCCTTCAAAGCAGACTGTAGTACCGCGTTCGATCCCATACGAAGGGCATATTTTAGAGTTAGATGAGTAGCGAAGGGCGTCAATCCCTTCCATAGAGCCCGTACACCTTCGTTATTGATGATGGTGGAGCCACAGTGGACGATCCCCTTGTACGAACCCGACCGGTCCAGCTGAAGCCGAGTCTTGATGACATCAATGGGCTGCAAGCAGCTTGCCTCCACGATTCCTCCCAGAGATCCGGAAATGGCCTTCATGTACGGTGGAATGGTCGGCATCTGCCTTTTCCGCTTCTGTTCAGCCATTGAGCAGGAAGGGATTGTGATACAAAGTGATGCCAAAGGAGTTGGACGGCGTCTAGCTTTAAGGTGATAGTGCAGAAAGACAGTCGGTGCCCGACGGCTGCCCTTGTTTTCTGCTTCTTTCAACTTTTAAATTTAACAAAAGGTGTTAAAAATTGTATACACATACAAGCATACTTTCTGCTGATTGCAACAGGTGAGATTCCATCAAATTCACATATTTATCGTATTCTTTAATTTAAAAAAGATTCAAACTTCATATTTTGTAACAATTACACTTTCCCATTGTGATTTTTCAAAATTACCAATTTATATCAATCTGAATACTTTTTTATACACTTGAATTAAATTGTAAATTTTTATTAATTATTTAATAAAAATTACCCAAGAATTAGCAAAAACATAAATCAAATCTTAAAATTTTAATCTTATATATTAATTCATTACTCAAAATTTTCTTACAAAATTTAATAAAATTATTTAATTTGATACCAAGAAAACTTTAAACTATTTTTATAGTTGTAGGTTACAATTTCATTTTTCTAGTTATCTTTCATATGTTATGCACTAATTTAATTTATTATTCGTAATATAAATTTCACTACTTGTAATTTTATTAATTGTATAGTAGAAATATGGTTTCGTATATTTTAACATTTAGCAATACGAGTTTTTCAACTTAAAGTAACAAAGGAATGAAAAAATGAAATAAAAATAAAATTTTCTTCTTCAATACATAATCATTAATAGATTGAAAGTGTAATTGTGAGAAATGTTGAAGTTTGAGTCTTTTTTATTAAATTTAAAGAATATGATATATTTGTGAATTTGATGACAATTGAGAATATATTAAAATAATAATCCTACGATCTACTCCGTAATATTAATTTGCCCAATTCAATACAGTTTTTTACTGCCACTTTTAATATATTTGTCAAGCACATTTTCTCAATTAAATTTTTTACTTCTAATATTATATATCAATCTTTTATAAAAAATTATTAACCTCCGTCCCACTAACATTAGGATATGAGGAGTCAATACGATTATTAAGAAAATGAGTTTAAGTGGTTGCTATTGAATTGATAAAGTAAGAAAGATTTAGAACCACATAAATTTTATCAAATTTGGTATGACACGATCTTAGTGGGACGAATCAAAAAGGAAAGATGGGGCAATTTTAACCAAATGAAAGGAATATGATTTAAACATTCAAACATTACGGTGTAAAAATAAATAAATATGGAGTTGATTTCTGTTGTCAATATCCTCGGGGTGAGTTTTGAATTTGTGATCTCATCTTTGAAAGTGTCATAGTGATGTCATCGAATCACAAGATACTTGGCAGTATATTAATTATATACACAGTATATAATTTTATATAGAAAAACATTCCGAGCTGAAAGTCTCTAAGTTTCAACAATCAAATATATAAAACAAGAATAGAGAAGATTTGAGCTTTGATTTCAATATGCTTGTGCTCCGCACGCCACCAAAATGGCTATGCGCACCTATTTTTTTGTCAAAGATGGACATGTATGTCCTTGCTCACATACACCCACCCAGTTGCTTTTCCCTAATACGGAGTAATTAGGAAGCATTTTTTATTTTGAAGGGAGTAATTAGGAAGCATCTTCATCCGTATTGATTTTTTTAATGGGTGTCTTGCTTCTTTAAAATAAAACTAAGTTCTAATATTTCCTAAATTTTGTGTTACATGTTTCCAAATACACTTAAATTCCTAATACAATCAGGATTACACTTTCTAACTACCATCACACAACTACTGTATAAGTATTTGGAACTCATTACTAATGCTTTTATAATTTTTTACAATTTTTTTATACAATGGAGGATGAATCTAAAAATTATCTAAAAAATAGTACTCTTGATTTTCACACTTATGAGGTATTCATCTGCCTCACTATTTGTATCCCCGTTCTTATTTGTGATGTGATTCATTAAGTTTGTCGTATACAATATTCGTTAATATTTTGATGATCATATATATACTTTTTCATTCATCTTTATATTGAATAATATTGTTTTTGTTCTATTATCGTATAACTACGTACGATTGACATTATCGAGTTTTTTTTATTAATTGAGATGTTTTTTATCTCAAATCAAACCAAATCAAATTTCGATAGTTGTATAACACAAATAGAAAAAACACCCGCGCATAAACATACTTCTAATAGGGCAAACCAGTTCAGACCTCAGACTAGATTAGACCAAACTTACTAGAACAAATAAGATAAGATTATATCAGATTAGACTAGATCAATAAATTTTAATTCAATTAAAAACATCCTTATTTGTATTATAATAATAAATTAATGTCACCCAATAATTAATTTTTGTCAAAATAATAAGTACACATCAAATTTTATTTTTTTCCATAAATTAACGGCTCCTACGTACATATAATTTAGAATGTTAGTTTAATATATTTTTTATTTATCCAAAATTTTAAATATAAATAAGCATAATTAATTTTTCGATCATATTTAAACTTGTATAGTGTAACTGATATTTTCCATTGAACTTAGATATTACTAACACATGTACGAAACTAGATGAGATCAAACCAAAATTGAACAATTTTGAATGTTTAGGTTTTTTGGGGTTATTTAAAAAAACTTATTGTTCTTTGAAACTTGACAGATTATATTTTGATTATTACTTTTATACTTTTGTAGTGTACTTATGACTAAAAAAACAATTATAAACTTAAGGCACATGTGTTGCAAATAAAAAATGTATTGCAGTTTTATGTTTCTATTTGTAAATTTAATGAGCTACGAAGTATTAAATATGTGTAATATTTTGTATTTTTAAGTCAATTTAATAAATTATTAATTTAAGAACTTGGTGAGCATATTTTGAGAAACTTTGAAAAATAAGTCAGGTATAAAAGTCTAAATATAAATATATTTTTTCTTGTAATACATGTATCTCATATTTTTTGCTTATATAAAAACATGTTATATATGCAGGATGATAGTGACGTGTATGTTAATCTTATTTTTCATGATGATAGCTCAACTTTTGTAGAAGAAGAAGTGGAGTTTGAACCTCCAATTGTTGAAAAAGCACAACCATTCACTTCACATGATTTTTCAGAAGACTTTCAAACTCATAAAACTTGGCAGATCGGGAATCTATGATTGATTGGGCTAGATTGAGGCCCACAAGAGAAACATGGTCTCCTATAACGTCTTGGATGTTGTGCAATGATTGTTCCTTTAAGTCCACGTTCATGTCGTTAGTTCCTGTCTGCTGCCAGATAGCTATACACGAATGATAGTCTGCCACATAAGCCCTAGGAATATCCTGATCTCACTAGAACTCCACCCAGGTTCGAGCCCTAGGAATATCCTGACCTCACTAGAACTCCACCCAAGCTCGAGCCCTAGGAATATCCTGACCTCACTAGAACTCCACTCAGGCTCGAGGTTTGCTGTCGAGCTTGACCTGGTTGTGGGTTCCCGTTGTGAGTCTTATTCCCAGTTAGACCCAAACGGCCAATATATTTATCCCGTTCACGGGCTGATCCCGTTTAAGGGCTAATCCCGTTGAAGGCTTGATCTCATTATGGGCTTGGTCTGTATTTCCGTGATTGGGCCATGGCTGGAGTCCATGGTACCATCACCATATGATATGCATAAAATGACAACTTGTGTTGATGCACAGATTTGACTTGACGACAATGATCCGTTGCTACCAGTGATTACGATATGGTGTTACTATCACGACGCTTGTGTTACAGGATGAGATACTCTACTTCTTTATCGAAATAAATAGTTTATAGAATGTCGTAATATTATAACAGACCTCATTACAATTGTATTGGATGATTGATATAAACCTTATATATTATTGTTGGTCCAAAATAGGACGCTCGTAGGCTTTTAGGAAAGCTACGTACGACACTCAAGCAAGAATTAGGAAAGTACGAATATGGAAAGTTAGCCAGAAATAACATATTTGTATTTGAAATTGGAATTGCCTTTTATAGGCGATTACAAATGGTAACTGCCGAACATAATAATGACTAAATTAATTACAACATTAATACATAATTAAACACATAATTATGTCGCGCATTGATTGTTGGCCGTTACTCTTCGTGGCTGGCAGGTCAGCCTGGCTGGCAGGCTGGACGCTTGATCTCGCTCCTGCTGGACTGGACGGTGGGCTTCCCGCTAGGCTGGATGAAGGCTTCTGACCGGGCTGGAGGCAGGCTCCCGGGTAGGCTGGAAGGCAGGCTCCCGGGTAGGCTGGAAGGCAGGCTCCCCGTTGGGCTAGAGGCAGGCTCCCACCTGGGCTGGACCGCAGGCTCCCAGTTGGGCTGGATCGCAGGCTCCCAGCGGGGCTGGTGGTCGGTAGGCTCCTGGCTAGGCTGGAAGGCAGGCTCCCCACTGGGCTGGAAGGCAGGCTCCCCACTGGGCTGGAAGGCAGGCTCCCCGCTGGGCTGGTCGACAGGCTCTCTTGGGCTTCCGCTCCTCTATTGCCTTGATTGGTTGGGCCGACTCGAGCTCTAGGTTGCTGGGCTTGGGCCCGCTGGTCCAAGTTCGGGGTCTGGGCCGATTAGGCTCTGGGCCTGGTCCCATAACCCCATCACGAGTCCCCCACTCCCTTAGGCGAGTAGTAGGCTCGGCTAAGAGGGAGTAGTTCATGTCAGCTGCCCATTAAAAAATATTCACATATCAGGGAGCCATAATTGTGGATTCTGTCAATCCCACAATTTATGGAGATTTCCAAGTTTCGAATAAGGCACCCAACTTTAAAAGGCCCCAAATCAATTCCCTTAGCGTTCTAGCATTCCAGCAACAAGCTTTCTCCCAGACTTCAGGATCCAGGTCAGCTTCAAAAATCCCTGAAATTCATTTTTATTACTTCATAAATTATTTTCGGACTTTATTTTATTTTTCCTTCCTTTTCTTTTCTTTCATTTTCTTTTCTTTCCTTCTTTTTTCTTTCCTTCTTTTTTCTTTCCTTCTCTTTTCTTTCCTTTCTTTTTTCTTTCCTTTCTTTTTTCTTTCCTCTCTCTCCTGCGACATGCGTCCCTCTTCCTCGCGTCACCCCAACGCCGCAGTCAATCTGCCGAGTTGGTTGGCCGCCGCCCCGTAGCTCCCCTGTGTTGCCCCCGCCGTGCCAGGCGGACGTCCTGTGTTGGT